GATTCAAATGAATCCTTATTTTTTTAAATAATACAAATTTTTTCAAATAATCATTTGAAATCATTCCTTTCTTAGACAGGAACCCAGTTCCTCCATTATTCTTATTATCGTCACAGTTCAGATTACAGACACTCTCAGTGAGTGCCGGTTGGAGACATCCTCACAGGAAGCGGATCCAAGTGGAATCCGCTTCCTGTGAGGTAGAGTGCGACTAGCCGTAGAGATTGAACATGTTTTCTTTTTAAGTGTTGTGCATAAGATGTCCATGTACTCATGTCCCTTCCTGTTGTCGACAGGCGTCAGCAACTCAGATTTTAAGCTTTATGGAGCCAGTTCAAGTAGCTGGCCCAGAATGCCTCTGCACGTGCGCGCCGGGCGGCCAGGCCGAGGCCGCCGAGGCTTTGCGGGCTCTCATCACCCAGCAGACACCTGTAGAGAGGTTAGCTTACGTAGACCCTCAAAGAGAGGAGGAACTGCAAAAAAAGTCTACTTGCAGCGCGAGGTTCCAGACTCGATTTATGACATCTTAATGTGTCGATCTGTCGCAGAAATCTAAAGTCGCGGGCCCTGAACATATCCTGTCTTCCATCAAATTCAGCAGGTAAGTCCAGCTTTTTTTGTCAGATGGGATTGTCAGCCACAAAAAAGTTGCGTGGAGATTTGTCAGCTTAAAAAGAAATTATAGATGCTATTTTTTGTTTAGTTTTATTTTTTGGTAAGTTTTCTCTCGCCTGCATAGGTGTGAGCCTCCGCCGCACGGAAGCTGCATCCCGATTCGCCGAGCGGTGTCAGCTGACGTTACTTTCCCACTCCTTAATACGTCGGCCACCTTGTCTGGAGACAAGGAGGTGTCCTCCACCCTTACAGTGTTTAAGCTGTTGAGACCTGGGATCCACCGACATATGACCATATCAGGCATGTATGCCCACTTTTTCAACTTTTGTGAAATTATCCAAATTGCTTCCATTTGCCTAAAGATACATTTCAAAACCTGAAGATAGAAGAGTCTTACAAAAGTCTTTAGTTTGAATAAGCTTGAGCTATTTTGCAAAAAAAAAAGTCCCAACTCCAATCTCGGGGTGTGCGAAGCTGGTAAACAAATTAAACAGGGCCAGGTCTAGAGATTAAGGGCCTCAGATTAAGCCAGTTTTTGTGGCATAAATTACTCATTAATAAGTAGGCCTACATGTTTGCCGGTATGAATTGATGGATGAATCCATGTTGGTCCCAAAAAAAGTATTATTTTTAAATATTTGAGTGTTCGTTTTAGTTAATAATCCAGCAATATTTTAATAAAACACTACATGCAAAATGAGCCCTTGATTTCAGTGTGAATATGCACAGTACACATTTTAAAAAAATTTTAGTTTTGGGCCTCCACCCCAAAACTTGTGGCCCTGGGCTACTGTAAGCCCTTTTTTCCTTTTACTTTCATGAATTTCCTCATGTAATCCCTACAAATGACTCAAAAATGTATTGTGTGGTGAAAAGGTTTAATGGATATGGATTCTTTGTATTTACGTTTTTAATCCCTTAGTGGAATTGTAGATGATAATATTAGTTTCCATCTTTCTTCAGGTTTGCCAAAGAAAGATGGCGACGGCGTCCAGCTGGCCTCTGCAACGCTGCTGGTGAAGAACGGAGACGGGAGTCCAAACTACAAAATAGAAGCTGTCACAGAGACGACAGCAGAGATGGATGAAACTGAAGAACAGGTGAGAAGCTACATATTAAGATTCAGGTTAAAAAAAAGGAAAAAAACTGTTCAAAATAAAAAGGGCATTTACATTTAAAACCTCACAAGTGTTTCCCTGTAAAGGCTGAGGAGGGTGCCGTTGTGCCGTGCCAGAGGTGATGAACGTGTGAGACAGTGAGCCTGTGTGGAGAAGCCCAGAAACTCCACCAACTTGGAATTAAAGTGCAGTATTTTTTGGGGGGGGGGATTGCCAATTGTTAGCCTACATTCCTGTTTCAAAAAATATATATTTACCAACATTTAGACTAAGAAGCGACAGCGTCTTTTTCTAGAGCGTTTAACGTGCAATACAACTGTTTTGTTGACCTTTTCCAGTAGCTGAGCAGCATTAACAAGTGTGCATTACAATCACTGAGCAACTGAGGATTAAGTGCCTTTCCTCGTGACGCTAACAGCAGCTGTGGCATAAATGATGCCCCTTCAGATTTTCTAAGCTGGTGAAGAAAGAAAACTTGAAAGATCCATTTAACACTTCAGCTCCCATCACTGTATTTCATACTTTATTTTAGTCTTATTTTGTTTTTCCAGCAAAGTTTAAATATGCCCTGACCTGTACAGTTATGCATTGCTACGTGTTTATTTAACTTGTATTGCTTATTTTGTTTTGTTTTCTCTTTTCAATACTGAGCACCACAGCACCTTTTTAAACATCATTCGTTAAAACATGAATGAAATCGACAACTGTCATAAAATGGACTGTATTGAGTAATGTGTGTTTTGTTGTAGTTTTGGTTAAATTATATTTTCCTCATGTGAACTTGTCTTTTGTAGCAATGGTCCTTTTAATAAACATTCGGTCATGTGATTTCTACATACAAATAATCTCCAGAATTTCTCACTCTTGTATTCCATATGCAGATGAATTTTGTGTTTCTTATTACAGCTTATCGCAAATGAAATAAGTTGGAAGTGTCCTAGGAAATTTTATTAAAAGTGCAAGAAACTTTATTTTAATACAAAAATGTTAGTGGTGAAGAATGGGAAAAACTGTGTTTTTTTTGTTTGTTTGTTTTTGTCTTGAAAACAATCATGTTGCAGCAAAGCCACAAAAGGTCAATGCTTCAGAATCTGGCTAGCTGTAGTGCAGTATGCATAAACCTATGGAAAGTTGAGTGGAAGGAAAATCTGGTCACATGCAATAAATCTACACTAATTTGACGTTTTGAATTCAATAAGATTACGCTCTTAAAATATCTGTAGATGTAAAAATCTCTAAATATATAGACCGCCAAGTTCCTCAAATCAGTTATAGCTACCAAATCCAATCTATAGCTGTTTTTACTCTTCAAGAATTGTATTTTCCATGTATAATCAAATAAATCACTTGAAAGTTAAAGTTCAGCATATTTCAGCCCTTATATTTCTGTTAATTTTTCCCTCATATGCAGGGTTAGTGTCTTGACAATTTGAAATAAAGCTGAACATTTCAAGGAAAAAGATGGATCACGACTAATTGAATTCAGACATTTTTAATAGTAATACAAAAGCGTGGTGCAACAGAACTTCATCTTCTACAGGGGAAGATCAGGACTCCAACTATCTCACCTGAGGAGAAGAAGAAAAGTAATGCGTGTTCAGACTGCAAGTCAAAGATTTCATTGCACCTGTCCCTCAAATCAAGCACTTTATGGAATGAAAAAAACAAACAAACATTTCAATCAGGTAACATAATGCTGAAAACCCCCAGGAAAAGTTAAGTAGAAATACACGCAGTAGAAATACACGCACCTCCTGGGTCATTGTAGTGAAACCTACTCCTGCTTCTTGGGGTTATTTACAGCAACATAATGGTAGAGCACAACCAGCAGGAATAACGACACGCCAAGCATGTTGGCGAAGATGGCCAGCTGGACGTCGGTCACCATCCTAGAGAAAAGAAACAGCATGTCAGCTCAGGCCACGGATTTAGAACCGGTCGATCGCTGCCTTACTCCACTTTGTAATGTATTATTTAACAACCATTGTTTATTTAATTTAACCAAATACACATAGGAATTTTGCATGCGGTTACAAAAGCGAACAGTTAAAATTACTTAAAGGAAAAATATGGGTACCATTTCAGTGATAGCTGTCCTAAAGTCAATGTTTACCCTTCAGATAAGAGAACAGAGTTCCAGATAAAGCTTAAATTAAGTTGTTTCTCCTATCAAACGAACACAGCTGGGAAATTAATAGATTTCAACTACAAGATTTCACACAGTTGTTTCTTCTTTAACAACACCGAAGGAAAAAAAAAACACTGCATGCGTTACATCAGAATAATCAGGCTGACCTTTTGGTTTTATGACAGCTGAGCAACTTTTATCACGTCTATAGACGAATTCTACAGCTTGATCAATGTCCTAGAATCCCTCCCTGGTGGATGCTGTCTTAGATGAAGCAAATTGAGACGTTGACAATGACAATCCAAAGAACTGATAGCTGGTATGAATTTACTTACTCAGAAGTCTAAACTCATTCACACAAAGTATGACTGATCAGATCTATCTTCCTAGTAGTTCTTCACTTATTAAATAACATTGTGGTCATGGTACCGTTTTAGCTACCTTCGACCAACAGATATGACTATTAGAAGCTTAACAGTTTGCAGCACGATATGCTTCAAGCGTTCGTGGCGCAACCAAAATAAATACAAAAACACATCTGCACCCTATCATGCAACTTAATTTAAATGATATTTTCAAACAGAACATCTCTTAATCATCAAATTAGCTTGAGGAATTATTTAAAGATGAAAATGTCAGGGGCTGATGTTAGCTTAGCTTGTAGGCTAAGTAGTGCAGCTAATGCTACACTGAATGAAGAAACGTAGTATCTACTTGTTTGCACGTACGTGCAAACAAGTAGATACTAAAACATAATCGATATGAAATGAAATTTATGTACTGTAGTTGTTACCTTGTTCTTTAAATTAGTTTTTTCTTTTTTAATCACGTACAAGTGACACTCCAGCTCCTCTCGGCATACGCAAGTAAACCTGCCTTCTTCCGGGATGCAACCTAAAGCCACGTCACGTTTATTTCACTAGTGTAATAGAAATTCCTGTTATAGATCGCACTTTCGTCACAAATGAACAAATTTGAAGCCTTGTCTCGGACATTTTTAATCTTTCGTTTTCAAAATATACATGTTATTACTACAAACACGATCTGTTTCGTACGTCTTATTCGAGATACACATTTAATTCACTTTTGTGCTGTTTTTTCTTCTTTTTTTTACCTATCATCCAGATCTGAAGGGGGCGGCAGTGAGCACGACGAGCTGCGAGCGCTCGTTGGTGAAGGAGTGGCTCCGGTGGTTCGACTCGACATCACCTCACCCGGCGTGAAAGACGGCGGCTAAGCTAGATGGTTCTCCGAATCGGCAGCTAGCGTGAAGGATTTGCACCTCCAGAGGAAGAGATAGCGAGCCAAACTGAACCGTCATGGCTCTTTACGAATATGTCACAAAGGAGCAGCTGGCGGGCTTCGACAGATATAAGGTAAGGCGGAAAATGACGGGCTGATAGCTGTCACGACCCTGTTCGCTGATGCTGGGAAATTACACATTCTAAGCCTCGATAAAGCTTTTTTATCAACCAAATGTATTCGTGTCATGATAAAAATGTTCTTTGTTGGGTTGGCGATTTAATAATTTTATAAAATATCCCTACTGCTGGTAATTGTTGTTTGTGGCTTATCCTTTGCGGCTGCTGAGCATTAAGGCGAGTTTCTCGCCATACCTGATATAGTGTTCTTAATTAAACATCATTTTTATATTGACCGGAAGTGTAGATGCACGCAGCCTCCTGCTAATGGCTAGCCGTTCGTTCTTTCTCTCTCCGATTTGACAAAAAGGCTTCTTCCTTTTTTCAAAGTTTTCAGATAGGTTTGGTGGGTATGGAAGGCTCATTTGGTATTTATTGTTGTAGTATATCTGTAATAATACGCCAGTGAAAAAATATTTAGGGATTTCCCAAGCAGAAACGTCACAGTTCGGATATTTCTCACTTCCTGTTTGGAAGTGAATTTGTCCCAAATTTATTGATCATGCAGTTTATCTCTAAACTGAGCAGGAAAAAAGATTCAATGTAATGTATGAGCTATGTTTATGGTTGGTTACCTCCTACAATTACATTGCAAGTTGCACTTTAATTTTCTAAGGTGTGTTCTTGTATTTCTTGTTAATCATGAGAGGCGTTTTGTTAGTAATTGTCTTTTCATTGTCTTTTTTCCATTTGTTACGTCACTGTGCTCCAAGTAGGCATTCAGCTGGTGTTAGTGCATCTATATAAAACAGAAAAATGACAAAATATTCCTAGTGCTAATTTTTTTTAAAGCAACACATTGATTATGCCTATCCATTTAATGTTTTCTGGATTATTATTATTATTATTATTATTATTATAGTTTGAACATATAGACCTCAAGCAGGGATAAATTAGCCTCTCTTAATTGATGTAGGTGTGAAATTTAGAGGGGTGTCCAGACTTTGAATTGTAGAGTGGAATCGACTCATGGGCCACAAAAACTTGACTTTTAATTAAAAACACACACACAAAAAAAGAAAAATTAAATTGTCTCATTCTTGCATATAGAAGCTCAACAAAAAATTAAACATAAGGTATTTTAATGAAAGAAACAAATTGGCTTGATTTTTCTTTTTGTGTGTGTGTGTAGAAACTCAATCTGTAATTCATGATTCATTCGTAACCTGCTTCTTAATAGTATTCAGAAACAAGTGGGGGTCACTCCAGACCTCCTTGCAAATTTTTATAAGACTTTCAACAGGCAAAACAACACGATGGGAACATTTTTATGTTTCTATTTTAAACCACAAGCTTTAAAACCTCTGTTACCCGCCATTGCTTGTGAAATCATTTATATTTTAGCTCCTTCAGTTTGTTTGTAACGGGAATTGATTTTCAAATAATTTACCAAAGCGTACAGATGTGTGTGTGTGTGTGTGTGTGTGTGTGTGTGTGTGTGTGTGTGTGTGTGTGTGTGTGTGTGTGTGTACTGTGCTGCTATGATTAGTGTGTGGTTTCCCTGCCCCAGTTTTCTTCCTCTTTCGGAGATAAGAATGCAACTTAGAAAAGTCTTACAGTGTTGATTGAAGTGTAGAAATTCTCACTTACAGGAACAAGAAAAATACAACATTGATACAGCTGTATTGTAGTAACATTATGTTAAACATCAGTGGGGTGTGGTTGCATTTTCTTGTTGCTCTGCTGACAGTAAACACAGCTGTGGCTCCTGTGAAATATTTATTTTAAATAAAGTGGAAAAGAAGATCCTGCTCCTCCTTTAAGAGATCCAGATTGGAAGGTAGATTAAAAATCCACAGGAAAGGGGCCCTGTTTACCAAAATAGCGAGGTGATGAGCGGCGGACAGCGTGTACTCCTGACAGCAGCCACCCGCTCCGGCCCCACTGGATCTCTTACGCGTGTTTGTCTTACCTAGATAAAGTTTCAGACACTGGAGCCGGGTTTGTTTTGGTCTCAAGGCTCACAGGATGAACCTGTAGACACAAAACACGTGGAATGAAATGACATAAAAAAATGTGTGAATTCTTTTATGTGTAAAAAAAAAATATTTTTTTTAAATGACGTGATTTTTTTTGTTTGTTTGTTTGTTTGTTTACACAGTACAGTGCCGTGGACACGAATCCCCTGTCCGTCTACGTTATGCATCCTTTCTGGAACTTTTTAGTGAAGGTAAGAGTGAGACCTGTGGAGCACTCCATCATTAATGAAGTTTCCAGCCATCGGCGACAGTGGGAGACAAAAAAAAAAAAAAGGATCGATTTTTAATTTGAAACGTATACATCTTTTTTATCTTTACAATTCTTTCATTTACATATTTCCTGCCATTTAGAGCTGCATATCTTTGCGAAAAAGACAATTACGAGTAAGCAAATCTGATAAAGTGATATCAAAACACGATCCAAAGGTTGTTGGCCGACAGCTGATTGCGCAGCAGGGTGAAAGCTATAAGGCTTCTGGCTCGCCTTACCGAGGCGGCACACCTGAAGTGTACCTGGGGCGTTTAGGACGGGTTTCATTCCCATTAAGAACAAGACGACAAGCCTAATATTAACACACTATTGGTAGTACGTTGGACACACTTTCTCTGAAGCGTGGCGTTTTTGGAAAAATGTCTCACCAGACTTCACTGTGTTTCCACAAAACCTGGCGATTCATTGAACTACATAAAGTACTTTTGCTAGATGCTCTTGAAAAAATTTTTAAAAATTTCCAATCATCACCTTTTACTGACAAAATAAAAGCTTCAGCTTGTGACGTCATGTCCGTAAATGGTAAAGTAGAGGCATTTTCCATATCCAGCCGGCAATGCAAAGCATAAAGTATTTTTCCTGACCCCAAATCATCCAAATTGAAGAAAAATATGTCAAAAGGGAATCTGGCAGATTTGCTTATAATATTAAAATATTGTTTTGTGTGTTTAATTTGGGGGTAAAAATAAAAAAGGTTTCTGCAATCATTTTTAAAAAGAAAAATGCAAAACATTTTATGAAATGTTAAACTTTTTGGCCCCCAAAATTTTGGACTTCCAGCTTCCTTTTAGTGTAAAAAAAATATGAGGCAACATATTTAGGCGGATAAAAAGTTTTAATAAAATAAGAGTAAAGTATGACTCAGATTAATCTCTGTGGCCTGATTACAAGAAATCTTTTTTCCAAGTACTTTGCTTCATCTATGCACAGAAACATGCTCTTTTCATCTTGTGCTTCATTTCTAATGGATAAAACTCCATCAACTGTGTTTCTCTCACTCTTCCAACAGTTTTTACCAACATGGCTGGCTCCAAACCTCATCACGTTTACTGGTTTCATGTTCCTCGTGCTGAACTTCCTCATGTTGGCCTTCTACGACTTCGACTTCACTGCCTCTTGTAGGTCCATCACTTCGGTCCCGCTGGGCCTATGTTGTCATGACAAACGACTGCAGACGCTGTTTTAAGGGGGAGCCGCTCCGTCTTTGTTTATGCGGGGCCAAAGTGCGTCACTTATGGAAACGGGATCGACGCGTGTTCCTCAGGACAATTTTTAACTTATTAAATCCTTCGCACACATACTCAGAGAATGTTATCAGTGTTGCCATGTTGGTGCGTATCTGTAATGCAGAAACAAAGGCTAACGCAGTCTCTGTTGACATTCTGTGTTTTAGTGTGTCGTCTTACCTCAGACACTTTGACCTGAAAAAAAAAAATCACTGTATGTAAAATGGATTTATGTTGAATAATAAAAGTAGAAACCAGTTGTTTTGTGTGTTTCAGCTGCAGGAAACCAGCATGTGCCTAGCTTGGTGTGGGTGGCTGCTGGGATCTTCAACTTCTTAGCCTACACTCTCGGTGAGTTCTGACCCCGTCGACCTCTGGAGTGACCCCCACCCCCTCCTCCCTCTGTCTTTCTGAGAAGATCAGAGATGGGGAGCTTTTCTCAGAAATCTGTTTGGTGGTCAGTTTATTATTTTTGCCTGGGCGTCTCGAAGGCTCTCAGCAGTGCTCAGAGTGAGGGGTCACACGTAGCGCAGACGCATGGAAACGGGTCACATGAGGAAGAGCAGTCAGTTTATAACACACAGCAGTCGGGTAACATTAGAGGTGCAGAAAGAAATCGATTATGTTGAGAACTGCAATTCCTAGCCCTGGAAAATACTCAAAAATTGATGTTAGTTTGTCAATTATTTGGTAAAATTATACTTTGCATACATTTTTAATATGTATATTTTTTTTACTAAAAGATTCCCATTTTTAGTGAGAACTTTACATCCACTTTTCTTGAGCGTGACTCTGTACACCTCATAAATAATGAGACGTACATCTTAAAATTGTTCTCCAGCTTACTTGTTGGGGCTTCGGATCGATGTACATCATTAACTGCTACCTTGGGTCTATTGCCATTTTCAATAGATCAGAAACGACTGAATTTCCACTTCAGTCACAACTTCTCGAGTTTATTTCCCAAAGACGCCGCCTTAATAATCATGTGGCTGTTTAAGTTATAGGGAAACCCAGTCAACTGTTTCTCCATAAGCACCTCTTTGTTCTGAAGATTGCTCCATAAATCATATAAACCCATTTCCATGGGATTCTTGGGTGGAATATATATGTGCTGCAGCAGCAGTGGGACGTAGGAATGTGTGAAACTCTAAAGAATTTATTTGGAGTGGGCAGCAGCTATATATGGGCGGAGGTGTCACACCTCTACATCTCTTTGTTTGCATCGTTTGTCCGTAAACGTGTATTTCATTATTTCTTTTTCCCTTTTCACCAGACGGCGTCGACGGGAAACAGGCCCGCCGCACCAACTCCTCGACGCCACTGGGGGAGCTGTTCGACCACGGCCTGGACAGCTGGGCGTGCATCTTCTTCGTGGCCACCGTGTACTCCATATTCGGGCGCGGCGAGAGCGGCGTGGGCGTGGTCACGCTCTACTACATCCTGTGGGTGGTGCTGTTCTCCTTCATCCTGTCCCACTGGGAGAAATACAACACGGGCATCTTGTTTTTGCCCTGGGGTTACGACATCAGCCAAGTGGTGAGGACTACACACACACAAACACACGTACATCTTATGTAGTGATTATGGTTTCAGTATGTTGGGCTCACAAAAGATTATTGTTCTTTTTGTCACGTCTCCTTCTAGACGATCTCCCTTGTTTACTTGGTGACTGCTGTGGTGGGAGTGGAGACCTGGTACCAGCCAGTGATCTTTAACCTTCTCTACAGGGACCTCTTCACCTTCATGATCATAGGTGGGCTCTGATTGGCCGCTTTAAAATGTTTTGTGTTTTTCCTCTGGCTGTTTTAACATGAACTTCTGCTGGTTTCCAGGCTGTTCGTTTACCGTGACGTTACCCATGAGCCTCTATAACGTCTTGAAGTGAGTATTTAATGAAGGTGTTGCAGAAGCATTCATACTGTTTCAACTTTCTCCACACTTTCTCACAATCCAACCAAGAATGTCATCTTGGTGTTTTATTGTGATTTTTAGTTATCAAGTAGGCTGTAATTGAGCAGGCCTGTCACAATCACAAATTTAGCTGAAATTGTCCCAGAAAGCATTAGCGATAAACGCTAATATTTTTATTTTGTTTTTGCCCTGGGGCTACGACATCAGCCAAGTGGTGAGGACCACACACACACACACACATACATTTCATGTAGTGATTATGGTTTCAGTATGTTGAGCTCACAAAAGATTATTGTTCTTTTTGTAATTTGTGATGATGGCATAATAATGCACGTTTGCCCTCTTTTAGATGAATCAGACTTTCATTTTCAACTCTTCACACTGGAAAAGGAAAACATTTTAAATATGCAAAACAAAACACAATAACCAAATATAGAGGGTAAAAGGGACATAAAATCCACAAGTTGCCGAAGTCATAAATAAAATGGATCAGGAAGCTTTTGAACACAACCTTAGTCAAATTTGCTCCTACTTTCCCAGTTGATTTTTTTCCCCAACTGTGAAGTCAGAATTTCCCTGTTCAGAGTATAACTAGAACGTAGCATAAAAGTAGTCCTGAACAAAAACCTGTCAGAGGCTGGAAAAGACCCTTAAATATACAACCAGAGCTAAAGAAGAATGATTTATACCAAAGCACAGTGATGTGCTGGATTGGCCTAGTCAAAGTGTAGATCTCAGTCCACTTGAATTGTCAGATCTTTCCATGTCTAGCTGTCAAAAAGCTGATATAAACCTGCCCCCTAATGGCTTGCAGAGGTAATTGTGTCAAAAAGTGGTTCTGCAAAGTGTCGACCCAGGAGGCTGAATCCAAATGCACCCCACATTTTTCAGGTTTCATTTGTTAAAAACCAAAAAAAAGAAGCGAAATCTCCCATCTTCCAGGTGTGCGCTACTTCTTGCTCTCAAACGAAACCTTTGAATTGTGTGGTTGCCTTGCTACAACGTGACGACGTCTCTGCCTTGCGGATGTTTCAGGGCTTACAGGAGCAACACTCTGAAGCACAGCAGCCTGTACGAAGCCTTCCTGCCTTTCCTGTCCCCCGTCCTCCTCTTCGTCTTGTCAACCGCCTGGGTCGTCTTCTCCCCATCCAAGATCCTGGAGCTGCAGCCCAGGATGTACTGCCTCATGGTGGGGACGGCGTTCGCCAATGTCACAGTGAGTACCAGGCGTAAGTTGTTTTTTTTGTTTTGTTTTGTTTTGTTTTTTGCTGCTGTTGGTTTTTTTTTCCCCCTCAAATTTCTCTGTTTAATCGTGATTTTGCGTCTGTTTTCCAGTGTAAGCTGATCGTGTGTCAGATGAGTAACACCCGCTGCGAGCCGCTGACCTGGCTGCTGCTGCCGATGACGGTGGTGGTGGGTGGAGCCGTGACGAGGGTCTTCACCAACGAGACCCTGCTGCTTTACTTATGGACCGCCGTGGTCATCCTCACACACATACACTACGGCGTGTCGGTGGTAAGAGCTACTTTGTAAATGGCTGAAATCCAAGATTTCCATCTTAGGTTGGCCGAAATCTGTTGAAGCCTTCATCCATTTGACCAAACAAGGTAGAAATCTGGCTTTACTGTGCGTTTATGCCAGGTTTAATTTAAGAGAATATTCAAATTTGACATGAAATGAATAAAAGAAACATTTTATGTCTCCCCAGTGTTCATGGTAACCATACATTCTGATCGATTTGAGTTGAATTCATACAAAATTACTTAAAAAGTACGTAATAAACGCCTCATCATAATTTAGAATGCAGTTTTGTAAATGGCTTTTTTGCAGATTTTGGACATAAAAGCAGATATTTATGTTTATTCATGTGGAAAGCTTGATAATCAGCCTGTTTGTCACTGGTTCACAGCAAAAAACACAAAATCTTACCAAGCAATTTTAGTCCAGTAGGTTTTCAGCAAGAAATAGGAGCTTGTGTTACGTCAATAATATTGATGGAAAAATTACTAGTTGGAAGTGAAATAATCTGCCAGTGGAATAAGATATTTTTTGCATGTCAAAGTTTATCCAATTATTTAAAATAAGCAATGCTAAGCCTGGTGGCCCACCAGGCTTATAATACACTGGGAGAAACCCTGCATATGTTGTTCTACTAGTTAGAATTGAAATAACCAATTTATTTCAATTCTAACTAGTACTTTTTTCATCAAGGAAGTGCTGAAAAGTGACTTGTAAGTTAGTTTTGTCTTATTTCTAAAGAAGTGACATAAACGTTGGTAAGAGTTAGCAGTGTTGCTGCTACGCGACATCTTTGAATTTGGAGTTTGACATTTGTCGTTGTCATCGGCAGGTGAAGCAGCTCAGCGACCATTTCAGCATCTTTGCCTTCTCGCTGAAGAAGCCCAGCCGGGACTGACAGGAGGAGGAACGAGTCGGCCTGACGGCGGCGGAGGTCTAAGCTGCTCCTCTGTTCCACCTAACGACACTTCACCCTCACCGCGGAAACAGAGCCCCCTCCCCCTTCACAAAAAGGACGCTCCAAGCGAAACGGACAGTGGCCCTCCTCTAACACACACGACACACACAGTCACACTCGAACACACATTCCCAAAGCGAACCGATCAGAGTCCGGTCACGGCGACGGGGTTGGGCCCCGGGGCCTCTCTGGCTTTTGTCACTGGTGATTGGCCGTCTTTGTCGAGCCAATGAGGTGCTATTGTTTCCTACGGAAATGCGCTTCCGTCGCGGCGGACGGGAGCCCGCAGGAGCCATGAGACTTTACCGAGGGGGGCCCCCCCTCATTACCCAGAGCATTCAGGATCTCTTCATCCAAACCTCAATAATTAAACTGAAGCTAGTTTTCCGAGTCGAGACTTTTAAGTCTGCTCCGTCGGGCCGGCTCGCAAAGACGAACGTGTGAGCTCAATACAGATTATATGGGTAATCTCTGAAGCCACATAGTATTACGACTGTATAGTAATGCCCTGGGGAAACGCCAATTCAGTCTAAATGTCTGAACAGGAATGTCTGAAGGAGTGTTGTCGATCGAACCTGGGAGCACTGGGAACACTGGGAAACTGTCGCTCCAGTTTTGTCCAGAATTTAAACGTTTGGTCAATTCCCCTCAACCCCCCCCCTTTTTTTTTTTTTTTTTTTTTTTTTTTTAAATCTTCCAGTCACTCATCTGTGGTAAATGTTAGTAACTTGTATATATTCTAAAAACATTGTTTGGGGTGAAATTTCTGTAACAAAGCCTAAAAGAGTGTAAACCATTGGACACATTTCCTTTCTAAATAATTATTCTCCTTTGCGCTCGGAGCTGATTATTGACTAACTGGGGCGAGACTCAGATCAGGTTGACCTCTACTAACCCTTTCTTAGTTTTTACTCGGGTACCAGCTCTCCCTTCCCTCTGAGGTGTCGTGTTTTCACGCTGATTCGTTCTTCTTCTTGCTTTTTCCATTTTTTTTTTTTCATTTCATTTCTTTATCCGTTTTGGCTACGCTTCTCTTTGCGGTAGTTGTTATGTTGCGCAGCGCTTGAATGAAGAGTGTGTCCAAAAACCGCCAGTGGAGCGGACTCACTCTGAGGGACCAAGCCTCCGCACAGGACAGCGCAAAACCTCTTCACGCCGCTTGTGGTCATGGGTTTTCTTTTCATTTCTTTTTCCACAACGTGGCGTAGAGCTAGCGTCGTTTTCGTCTTTGTTTTTCAGGATATTGAGCGCCAACCGTCTTTTCGTCTCCGAGTTGGCGGAGTTTTTATGTTCGACTTTTTCACAATGCAAGGTTTAAGCTTGTTGAGGCGGACAGACATTTCTCACAGCTGAAGATGTACCAATCGGAGCTTCCCTGGCTGATACCGATTTTTTTTCTCCTTTTTTTCTTAGAGGTTTGATTGCTACGTTTTCTTCCAAGGAGTACAGTAGAAATGACTTCCACAGGTCCTCTAATAGAGATTGTAATTTTGAATCTAACGGAGAGCGAAGGAATATAAGTGGCATTTTTCTTTCATTTCTCTAAATGTGTCTCAAAGTTTGTTTATTACCTGAAACTGTGGGCATTTCCTAGCTTTGATGTGCTTAAAGGACGGGGAGAAAAACAAAATCAGATCGGATCCCATTAGGAAAAAATCGGCCCGGTTCCTATCGCTCTGCCATCGATCGGTGCATCTGTGCACGCAACTCGTCTGAAAATGTCAGCAACGTGGCATCGTTTACGTGTGTTTGTGTCCGAATAAGTTAGAATCACAAAATTTGAATATTAACGTTGTCTCAGTAGTTGTGATTAATGCAGCTGAATACAAATACCCATCCACAGTTCTGTTTATCTTGCATACTGGGTACCGGGTTTTAAAAACATCCTTCCGTCATGCCATACGTAAAGAGCTATTCTTCTCTTCCCAACATGCCAGAGATCATGCCAGAACGATTAGAATTTTCTCCAGTTGTATAAAGAGTGGCCCTTCCCCCACCTGTTGCTGTGCATGTGTCAGATGTACAGATTTGGATGTTTGGAAGTAGCAACCTGGACAGATGACTGTACTAAATGACCAGCTGCTTGCATCTTGTTTTACCTGCATTTCTCCATGAAAAGCAGATAAGAGAAGGAACATTTTGTGAAATTAGCACTTGAAAACTACTGTTAAATCTAGAGGTGTTTTTATTAAACATTTGCAGCTCAGATCTGTATATCCAAATCCAAGAAATTATAAACAAATGCATATTATGCTATTGAGACATTACTAATCAGTATGTTGTACTAGAAATCATTTTTGCTCTTTTGTGGAGTATAAAATAGAAATTGAGTCATGTTATACATTTCTGTTTTAAATCTGGGAGCAAATAGTGCTTTATTCATGCAGTTAAAAGTTCTGAACAAAAATAATTAACATGATTGTTTTATTTAAAACAGAAAAGCAAAAATGTCCCTTCATCTAAAGTAACCTACTTTTATAATATAAAAAAAATTACACTGCCTGGCCAAAATAAGTTGCCACCTGGATTTAACTAAGCAAATAGGTACGAGCCTCCTATTGGATAATTACTGCATAGGTGATTATCTTTCAGCTGGCAACAAGTTATTTAACCCCAGCTGATGCAATGAGTAACTCCTCATTTCTTAAACAACCATGGCAAAAGACACATCCTGTGGCCATGGGAAATACGTTAGACTGTTCAAGAAGGGTCAAATCATTGGCATGCATCAAGCAGAGAAAAGATCTAAGGAGATTGCAGAAACCACTAGAATTGGGTTAAGAACTGTCCAATGCATCATAAAAAACTGGAAGGATGGTGGGGAACCATCGTCTTCCAGGAAGAAATGTGGTCGGAAAAAAATCCCGAATGATCGTGATCGGCGATTACTTAAACGTTTGGTCAAATCAAATCGAAGAAAAACAACAGCAGGAGTATTTTTAATTGTGAATGCAAAAGAATTTCCACACGCCCAATACGAAGGGAACTCAAGGGGTCAGGATTGAACAGCTGTGTAGCCGTAAGAAAACCTCTAATCAGTAAGGCTAACCAGAAAAAAGGCTTCAGTTTGCTAGAGCATAAAGATTGGACTCTGGAGGAATGGAAGAGGGTCATGTGGTCTGATGAGTCCAGATTTACCCTGCTCCAGAGTGATAGGCGCATCAGGTTATAGAAGAGAGGCAGGTGAAGTGATGCACCCATCATGCCTACTTCTTACTGTACAAGCCTGTGGGGGCAGTGCTATGATCTGGGGTTGCTGCAGTTGGTCAGGTCTAGGTTCAGCAACATTGTGGGCCCAAAGAATGAGGTCAGCTGACTACCTGAATATACTGAATGACCAGGTTATTCCGTTTTTTTTTCTCCCAAATGGAACGGGCATATTCCAAGATGACAATGCCAGGATTTATCGGGCTCAAATTGTGAAAGAGTGGTTCAGGGAGCATGAGACATCTTTTTCACACATGGATTGGCCACCACAGAGTGACCTTAACCCCATTGAGAATCTTTGGGATGTGCTGGAGAAGGCTTTGCGCAGTGGTCAGACTCTCCCATCATCAATACAAGATCTTGGTGAAAAATTAGTGCAACACTGAATGGAAATAAATCTTGTGACACTGCAGAAGCTTATTGAAACAATGCCACAGCGAATGCGGGCTGTGATCAAAGCTAACAAAATATTAGAGAGTGTGACCATTTTTTGGTGGCGATGACAGTGTATGTCATCATACACTGCCTGGCCAAAAAAACAGGCAGTGTATAAACTTTTGTTAGATTTTTATCCATACTCATGCAGAAATTTAACAGAGTTGCATTCTAAATGTAGAGGTTTTTAACTGATTATTTCAACAGATTTTATTTCTTCTGTTCTGTGTGTGTTTTGGGGTTTTTTTTCTATTTTTAAATAGACAATAAAAACCTGATATTGTCGTGTAAATTTTTAATCTCGAGTAGCTAGCCTGTTGCTAGCTGCTTAGCCGCCATCTTTCTCATGGCTGTAGTTTTTGGGACCGGAAATATTAGCCGATTTAGCATTTTGTTTTCACCTCTAAGGTGCGGCAGCAACAGGTGAGAGAGGGGCTCCAGCCGCTTCCCATCTCATAAAAACGACTTTGAATTCTCGGTTTGGTTTTGACGGGATAACTGTGACCTTGGAAAACTAAAAACCCGAGCCATTCCCGTACAAACTTCTGTGGTCCCGTTTAGGGAAAAGCGCCATAGGAAACATTGAGAGAAACGGCTAGCACGCTCGTTAGCCATTTCGAGCTAACGAAACGGCTCGTTTGCCGGTGACCCAACGGTTACCAAGCAACACCAAACAGTTTCTATAACCTACGTGGGGTCTGTTAAGCAGCTCGCTGTGGTTTAGAGCTGCTGCGCTGCATTGTGGGAAATCTGTAGTCCTTTAACGAAGCCCGGCTTGTGTGGACGCTAACGGCCGTCGTGACGTAACGGAGTGAATGCACTGTCTTCTCTGTATAGCTCCGTGTCCACATGTCTTATTCAGGAAGTACGATTGTATGTGTGAGTATGTGTAAATACCTGTTTTATTATTTAATTTTTTTTAAAACCAAGTGTTTAACCGTAGGCAGATTTTCTCTTGTGACTTGGACTCAATGCCAATCAGCACTGCAATCCACAAAGCTGTCTATGCTACAGCACTTAATACTGTCTGTGTATTTTGTTTTGGTTTGTTTGAATGTCTCATTATTGTTGTTATTTTTTTGCCGAGTTACCGTCTGATTGGATCAAATCCATTTTCTTGTTTTTTTGTGTTGTTTTGGTGGGAATTCCTGCTTTGCGTGAAGTGAACACTACAAGCACTGCTTGGATGCAGTGAAGGATCACCTGGGAGAGAACAACTGTGCCATTCAATAAAACAAAAATGACATTTTCATGCAGTTACAGTCCTCGCTCCTTAAGATTCTAATGTTCCGTTTATGTGAAGCTTTTGCTTGGAAAAAAAAAGTCTCAACCCTGCCTGGGTTTCTCTTTTTCTCCCCCCAAAATCTGTGAGCTAAGCTGTCATGTACTGCAACTCAGGCAAACACTCCAGTCTCATTGTGACTTTTTTTTTTCTTTTTGGGTGTATTTAACCAGTGAAGGACGGGACCGCTCAGACACAAATAAAAGATAATTTTTATTAATAAAAACCACTTTTGATCTATTCTTCCCAGATAAAGGTTCACCTCTACTCCACTTGTATTTCCTCTAATCTCCACATGTGGGCAGCAGAGAGCTAAAAGGTTTGTTTACTTTGCCCGGTGCAGTCTGATCACACTGCAATGAGGATATGTCAAATTTACAATTAAGTCCAAACTTACTAGATTCAGATTCAGTTTGTTTCTAAAAGCAGACAGATTTCTGGCTCAAATCTGCTTTCAATTCATTAAATGTGTCTAAATACAGCAAGCATTTTCAAAGACAGAGTGACCTGGGTCTTGATTTTTACAAAATTGGGCTCTTTTCTCCTTTTAGGAAAAATGTGAAATTAATTTCAATAAGACAGACATGCAAAATGTTGTATGTCTGGCAATTTACTCATCCCTTTCCAGCAACAAATCTGAGTACTTTTTTTGTTGTAGTTTAACTAAAGTATTCAATGGTTATTTTACAGTTGAGTAAGGAGTAAGAAAAACATCCAGTCCTTTTGACTTTATGATTTTGGCCCGTGTGACAAAAGGTTTGGACTCTTGCATTTGCAGGGAGTTGTCCTCAGTGTAGGATAATATATCGGCTGATTGAATTACTCCATGGCCGTTTTGCAGGAAACTTAACACGGGGTCGAGGTCAAAAGTTTGTGTGGCGTCATAAACGTTTTGTCACAACAAACCTAAAAGCGTGGCGTTTTCCTGTTTTTATGAGGAACAACTGAAATGATACCGAGGGGCTTTTATGTGAAAAGTCGACTCACGGTTGATGCTGACGCATGTTTTTCTTCCTGCTTTTTTGGAGGAAGAAAAACATGCGTCGTAGTGCTGGGATTGCTAACAAAAGTTGGTCATGGACGGCTTTTTGATCCAACCTTTCATTAATAACTCCATTCTTCGACGGCTTTGTGTTACAGTCAGTTTTTTCCCCCCATATTTTTTTGGGATTATCAGTCATCATTCAGAACTTTAGTTTCTACTTGGAAGTTGTCATTGACATTAGGAAGGATTCAAATATATCTGCATTTTTTATTATAATAAAAAATATAATAATAATAAATGTTTATTATATAAAAAAATGTAATAGAAAATATATTTAAAATTATATATATTTTTTATTATAATAAAAAATGAAGATATATAGTTATCTTCATATTTTATGGCGGACTACTAAAAAAAGACAGAAAAAAATAACACCAAAACTAGATCTACTGCAGGCATTATAGGTGCTAATCAGGATTTTATAACGCGTAAAACAAGAACATTAAAAAAAAAAGTCATGTTGCTGATTGAAAATAAGACCTGCACTTATGAGAGGGTCCAGCAGATGGCGCTTCAGACCAGCAGATTCCTGCTGCCGGCTCTTTGATCACCGAGGCCTCGCGCTTTAAAGTGGAGACCGTAACAGTCTTTTCAGCACCGCTTCCCCTCCACTGAACGACTTTCACAGATAATGCAGCCTTTGGCATTTTTACAATCTTATTCACAGTATGAACAACATGTGCTGAACTTAACACCTCTGACTCATGTGGCTCTGCTCTCTTTTACAGACTTCATTAGTAATTGATATGTATTTGTGCCTGCAAGCTTGTCTGGCAGCAAACATCTATTCCCCCCTCCAACCCCAAGTTTTTTATTTTTTTTATTCTTTTTTTGTTTCTTTTTATTGTCCACACACAGAAACGTTTAAATCAGCCTCACTGGGAAGATATGAAAAGGTCAGCGGAGAAAGTCGATGTGAAGGTTAATACGATTCAGACAGAGAGAAGAGAGTTGGAGTCATCCAGAGGGATAATGAAGAGAAGCTGGCAGAGGACCCGCAGGTCTGCTGTAAATAACATCTCATTAGGGGTTTTATTATTATTGTTATTATTATGAGTATTCAGAAATGCTTCGTTTGTTAGCGGATTCACCCAAACCAAAAGTTGGGATCGAGCCAGGAGGCTCCTGCGTGTGTGTGTGTTGGGAGTGATTTTCAGAGAAGGGGCCAATGCGTCAGTGCCTCTAAGGAATATCTGTAACCCTTGGACTCCCTCTCTCGCAAAGTCCATCCGTCCGTTGGCTGGCATTGGGAAACAAACCACATCATCAAGATCAAGAAGCACAGCAGGTTGTGGGGACGTTTAAAGGAGCGTTAAGTTACATGACAATTGTTTTGTCATCGTCTAAAGGTAGAGCATGCATCAAGGCATGGACAGTGTTTGTCAGAGAAGCTGCCAATAGCTGACAGCGGAAGAGATTTCCAGAGTGAAGGACAACTTTTGTCCACTCCACAAACCTGGCCTCAATGGAGAAGTAGCGAGAAAAACGTGGTAAAGTCCTGTTTGAAGTTTGCTACAGGCCATTTGGAGAACATCATAAATCTGTGGAAGATGCTTTGGTCAACCGAAAGCAGAATTCAACCACCAGTGCACAGTGGGAAAATAACACTGTGGTGGCATGAGGATGTGCTTTTCTTCTGCAGGGACAGGAAGTCTCAGGGTGTTGCATGATTTAGGTCAGAATGGTCTAGTCAAAGTCTAGACCCAAATCTATTGGAGGATCTATTGGCAATCGATGTCCACTGACCCCGTCTCTCTTTCTTCACAACAAAAACATAAAATCTTACCAACTAGATTACAAACTACACCAAGTATTTCTGGTGTAGTTTGTGATGCAAATATCTTAGTACACTTGAATTATTATTTCATCTGTACAAATATATATGCGCAAGAACGTCGACTTGGTAAGATTTAGTGTTTCTGCAGGGAGTTCTATGTGGAGGGGTTTGCGTATTTACAGATGCTCTCGCTTGAAAAAGTGGAACCCAAAATCCATTTCACGGTGTTCAGACTCCAAAGTCCAGAGTAGATGATAAACTCTGCTGTGTTTGGTAGTTTAAAGGAAGATAACCATCTTTGTTCTCTGTCAGCTTGCTATTCTTTCTGCTCATCACCCAGTTGAGTGCTTTGAGCAGTCAAGTGTTGGGCTTTAAGCGATTGCGTCCCCCCCGTCGGTCAGGCCGTCTTTTTAATGAATTGGCTGGTGTTGATCCTGAACTGACAGTTAATCAGACGTGACATCTATTAAACAGCGCCGGGCTCGGGTTGCTGTCCAGCGCCGCTGGACGTTTTGTGCGCCGCTGACCCCCCACCCCACAACCCCACCACCCCTGACACAAACACACCGTCCCGCCGAAGCCCAATTAAATG